ACTAAAAATACAAAAATTAGCCGGGTATGGTGACAGGCACCTGTAATCCCAGCTACTGGTGGGCTAAGGCAGGAGAATCGCTTGAACCCGGGAGGCAGAGGTTGCAGTGAGCTGAGATCACGCCACTACTCTCCAGCCTGGGCGATAGAGTCAGACCCTGTCTCCAAAAAAAAAAAAGTCACCTTAATACTCTGAGCAGAGCTGTGCTGAGTTCTTCACTTACTCTCTTCTCACATGAATAGAGCTCTTTATAAGGAGAGCACCATATTTTATCCCGAAGTATCCTCTAGTAGCTGGAAAGCCCATATGTCTACGGTCTTTTCTGCTGCAGTTTACATTCTTGTTTCACATCCCAGGCTCCCACATCTCCCTGCTCATTAGTCCAGTTTGATCTTAGATACATTTCTTCTCTAGATGTAAGAAGCAAGTCCCAAACACTAATACCCCATGAACTAGAACCTGGAGTGGAAACACCCCAGAATGTCCCAGTATTGCCCCATCTCAAATACTGTGAAATGAAGCTGAAATAAAAGACAGTGAGATCTAGGAAATCCTACTTTGTGTCTAAATGTAATTCACATGCAAGTCATTGCAGTCGTCTATCTAAGTCAGGTCTTTCTATAGTCCTAACTTTCTTGTTCTATCACCATCTACCCCAGTAAGTCTCGTTCACTTCAGTTTACCTTGCTCCCTACTGAAGCATAGTGTGTATGTGCTTTTCTCTGTGTCTTAATTCAGACCTATAAGTGGGTAAACTGTGCTTCTCCTTCTGCCATCTGCTACTGTGTTTTTTTGTGTGACTTGCTTTTCCAAGGTCCTAATATTTTCCTTTTTTTTCCCCTAAAATGTGTATTTTAATAGTCTTGCTCCCTTTTCTCTCTCTTAGTCTCCCATCTGCCTCCTCCTTCTACCTATCATCTTATACCTAGAAACAGATAGTAAGAATGGGAGAGGAATAAAGAGATAAGAGAAGAACCATTTAGGACTAAAATTTGTATAGAATGTCCAAGTGACTGGCCCTAAAGCCCAATCTTCTACTCAGGTTCTGTCCCTGCTACTGGATTGTGAGGGTTAATTGGTCGATCATTGGCATTGGCTTATCTCCTGTGGGGAGTGTGGTGGCAGGTGAGGTTGGGGTGGCAGGTAATGTTCCCTGTGTAATAAGGGAAGATTATTTGGTACAGAGATCCCTGTTCCCTTAGAAATTCATTCTTGAGGCCAGGCACGGTGGCTCACCCTTGTAATCCCAGCACTTTGGGATGTTGAGGTGGGCAGATCACTAGGTCAGGAGTTCCTTCCCAACATGGTGAAACCCCATCTCTACTAAAAATATAAAAATTAGCTGAGTGTGATGACACGCACCTGTAATCCCAGCTACTTGGGAGGCTGAGGCAGGAGAATCACTTGAATCCGGGAGGTGGAAGTTGCAGTGAACCGAGATCACACCAGTTTACTGCAGCCTGGGTGACAGAGCGAGACTCCGTCTGGGGGGGGAAAAAAAAGAAATTTGTTCTTTTTTTTTCTTTCAAAAAACGGGGTTTCACCATGTTGGTCAGGCTGGTCTTGAACTTCCAACCTCAGGTGATCCACCCACCTTGGCCTCCAAAGTGCTTGGATTACAGGCGTGAGCCACTACGCCTGGCCAGAAATTTGTTCTTGAGATTAATTGTGATCACTAACTCCAAATGAAAGAATCTTATCCAAGTTTTAGTGTCCTGGAAGCATTTATGGAAGCTGCTAAAAATTATCCCACCATTTCACTTTTTCTTCCTCTCTACGTTTTTTTTTTAAGACAGAGTCTCACTCTGTCACCAGGCTGGAGTGCAGTGTCGTGATCTCAGCTCACTGCAACCTCTGCCTCCTAGGTTCAAGTGATTCTTCTGCCTCAGCCTCCCGAGTAGCTGGGACTACAGGTACGCACCACCATGCCCAGCTAATTTTTGTATTTTTAGTAAAGGCAGGGTTTCACCATGTTGACCAGGATGGTTTCCATCTCTTGACCTTATGATCCACCCACCTCGGCCTCCCAAAGTGCTGGAATTACAGGCCTGAGCCACTGCGCCCAGCTACATCCTCTCTACTTTTTCACCCTCCTTCTTTGTTTTTTTATTCCTCTTCCTACTGCCATCTTCTTTCTTTCTTTTGCTTTATTTTTCCCTGATTGGCTTTCAGCACTGGGGGCTCCCTAGACCGAAGTTGCTGAGCCTGAGAATAATTATTCAGTATCTCATGGTACATAACAGTGCAAGGATTAAAGACGTGACCATGTGTGCACACAAGCATCACTATGCTTACGCCAAAGCTTTTCCTGTAAAAGAAAAACATTGAGGTGGGTGGGGGACTAGGGGAGGGATAGCATTAGGAGAAATACCTAATGAAGATGGCAGGGCGATGGATGCAGCAAACCACCACCATGGTACTTGTATACCTATGTAACAAACCTGCACGATCTGCACATGTACCTGAGAACTTACAGTATAATAAATAAATTTAAAACAACAACAACAACAAAAAACTTTGAAACCAGGTGTGATAGCTTATGCCTATAAGCCCAGCACTTGGGAAGGCCAAGGAGGGGGAATCACTTGAAGCTAGAAGTTTGAGACCAGCCTGGCCAAGATGGTGAAAAGCCATCTTTACTAAAAATACAAAAATTAGCCAGGTGTGTGATGCACGCCTGTAATCCCAGCTTGTTGAGAGGCTGAGGCATGAGAATCACTTGAACCTGGAAGGTGGAGGTTGCAGTGAGGTGAGATTGCGCCACTGCACTCCAGCCTGGGCAACACAGTAAGACTCTGTCAAAAAAAAAAAAAAAAATTGAGCTGGGTGCAGTGGCTCACATCTGTAATCCTAGCACTTTGGGAGGCCGAGGCAGGTGGATCACAAGGTGAGGAGTTCGAGACCAGCCTGGCCAATATGGTGAAACTCTGTCTCTACTAAAAATACAAAAATTAGCCAGGCGTGGTGGCAGACACCTCTCATCCCAGTTCCTTGGGAGGCTGAGGCAGGAGAATCGCTTGAACCTAGGAGGAGGAGGTTGCAGTGAGTCAAGATTGCACCACTGCACTCCAGCCTGGTGATAGAGCGAGACTCCGTCTCAAAAACAAATAAACAAACAAATCTTTGAGGAAGGGTTGTTACCTTTAACTCTGTCACACAAGGCATTTGCCCCAGGTTTGGGAACAGTACATACTAAACCATGTTCTTTCCCTTCCTGGCAGGCCTCCTCTGTCTAAGCAGGCCTTCAAATTGTGTGTCAGTAAAGCTTATGAAACCAAGGGTGAAGGTGAGGATTAAAGGGCCAGGGGCTCCCTTTTGCCCAATTTACTTAAAATGAAGTATACTCCTTGAAAAGGAGTTCTCTGGGCCTCCCCCTGTCATCAGGCAACCGAGAGCCAGTGAACAGCCCAGAATTCACCAGTAGGTGGCAGCCACATCCCTCAGGGCCAGTCCTTTTTTTTATTAATTAATTTTTCCATAAGTTATTGGGGTACAGGTGGCATTTGGTTACATGAATAAATTCTTTAGTGGTGATTTGTGAGATTTTGGTGCACCCATTACCTGAGCAGTAGACACTGCACCCTATTTGTAGTCTTTTATCCCTTGCCCCTCTCCTGCTGTTCCCCACAAGTCCCCAAAGTCCATTGTATCATTCTTATGCCTTTGAGGATAGCTTAGCTATCCTCATAGCTTAGCTCCCACATATCAATGAGAACATGTGATGTTTGGTTTTCCATTCCTGAGTTACTTCATTTGGAATAATAGTCTCTAATCTCATCCAGTTTTTTTCCCATGCAAATGTTGTTAATTCATTCCTTTTTGTGGCTGAGTAGTATTCCATCATATATATATAGCACAGTTTCTTTATCCACTCATTGATTGATGGGCATTCGGGTTGGTTCCACAATTTTGCAATTGTGAATTGTGCTGCTATAAACATGCATGTGCAAGTATCTTTTTCGTATAATGACTTATTTTTCTCTGAGTAGATACCCAGTAATGGGATTGCTGGATCAAATGGTAGTTCTTTTTTTTTTTTTTGAGATGGAGTTTTGCTCTTGTTGCTCAGGCTGGAGTGCAACGGCACGATCTTGTCTCACTGTAACCTCCACCTCCTGGGTTCAAGTGATTCTCCTGCCTCACAGCCTCCAGAGTAGCTGGGATTACAGGCATGTGCCACCATGCCTGGCTAATTTTGTATTTTTAGTAGAGACGGGGTTTCTCCATGTTGGTCAGGTTGGTCTCAAACTCTCGACCTCAGGTGATCCACCTGCCTCAGCCTCCCGCAGTGCTAGGATTATAGGCATGAGCCACTGCGCCCGGTGGTAGTTCTACTTTTAGTTCTTTAAGGAATCTCCACACTGTTTTCTGTAGTAGCTGTACTAGTTTACATTCCCACCAGCAGTGTAGAAGTGTTCCCTGATCACTGCATCGCCGCCAAGATCTATTGTTTTTTGATTTTTTTGATTATGGCCATCCTTGCAGCAGTAAGATGGTATCACATTGTGATTTTGGTTTGCATTTCCTTGATTATTAGTGATGTTGAGCATTTTTTCATATGTTTGTTGGCCATTTGTATATCTTCTTTTGAGAACTGTCTATTCATGTCCTTTGCCCACTTTTTGATGGGATTGTTTTTTTCTTACTGATTTGTTGGAGTTCGTTTAGATTCTGGATATTTGTCTTTTGTCAGATGTATAGATTGTGAAGATTTTCTACCACTCTGTGGGTTGTCTGTTTACTCTGCTGTTTTTTTTTGTTTGTTTGTTTGTTTTCTATGCAAAAGCTCCTTAGCTTAATTAAATCCAAAATATTCATCTTTGGTTTTTTTGCATTTGCTTTTAGGTTCTTGGTCATGAAATCCTTGCCTAAGCCAATGTCGAGAAAGTTTTTCCAATGTTATCTTCTAGAATTTTTATAGTTTCAGGTCTTAGGTTTAAGTCCTTAATCCATCTTGAGTTGATTTTTTTATAAGGTGAAAGATGAGGATCCAATTTCATTCTCCTACATGTGGCTAGCCGATTATCCCAGCACCATTTGTTGAAGAGGGTGTCCTTTCCCCACTTTATGTTTTTGTTTACTTTGTCAAAGATAAGTTGGCTATAAGTATTTGGGTTTATTTCTGGGTTCTCTATTCTGTTCCATTGGTTTATGTGCCTATTTTTATACCAGTACAATGCTGTTTTGGTGACTGGCTTTATAGTATAGTTAGAAATCAGATAGTTAGATACCTCCAGATTTGTTCTTTTTGCTTAGTCTTGGTTTGGCTCTGTGGGCTCTTTCTTGGTTCCATATGAATTTTAGAATTGTTTTTTTCTAATTCTGTGAAGAATGATCGTGGTATTTTGATGGGGATTGCATTGAATTTGTAGATTGCTTTTGGCAGTATGGTCATTTTCACAGTATTAATTCTACCCATCCATGTGTTTCTATTTGTTTGTCTTCTGTGGTTTCTTTCAGCAGTATTTTGTAGTTTTCCATGTAGAGGTCTTTTGATTGCTTGGTTAGGTATATTCCTAAGTATTTTTTAAAATAAATTTCCCCATGTTTTTCAGAGCTTCCCTGGCTCTGGAGTTTGACACTGTTCAAGAAGAGAACTATAGCTGAGGATAGCTGTGGAATAACTAAAAAAACAGCACTGATACCCCTGCCCATATCACTGCCCTTCCCCAGTTAGAGGAGGCCTAAGAGGAGCATCACTTCTTCTCACTTTAGTCTTTAGTCACAACTTACAAGTGTGGGGAAAACAGGCACAGTTTTGTTTTTTGTTTTGTTTTGTTTGAGACTGACTCTCACTCTGTCACCCAGGCTGGAGTGCAATGGCATGATTTCGGCTCACTGCAACCTCTGCCTCCCAGGTTCAAGTGATTCTCCTGCCTCAGCCTCCTACAGGCATGCAACCACTATGCCCAGCTAATTGTTGTATTTTTTTGTAGAGACGGGGTTTCACCATGTTGGGCAGGGTAGTCTCAAACTACTGACCTCAGGTGATCCGCCTGCCTCAGCCTCCCAAAGTGCTGGAATTACAGGCATGAACCACCGCACTCAGCTATTTTTTTTTTTTTACCACTTTACTGTCGTTTCTCCCCCAGAATATATAAGCCCTGAACCAAGATAGGCCCTACCCCCCAAAAATGAAGAGGATTGGGATAATAGAAAACGTGTATGAAAGCCACCAGTATAAGCAGCTAATGCTGAGCATCTTGTCCATCAGTTATAGTTGGAATGCCATTGGCCAACAGAAAATAGGTGTGCCAGTAGAGCTAAGAGTTTTTTTTCAGCAGGGTGCGGTGGCTCACACCTATAATCCCTGCACTTTGGGAGGCCGAGGCAGGTGGATCACGAGGTCAAGAGATCGAGACCATCCTGGTCAACATGGTGAAACCCTGCCTCTACTAAAAATATAAAAATTAGCTGGGCATGGTGGCGCACGCCTGTAGTCCCAGCTACTCAGGAGGCTGAGGCAGGAGAATTGCCTGGACCCAGGAGGCGGAGGTTGCGGTGAGCCGAGATCATTGCGCCATTGCACTCCAGCCTGGGGTAACGAGCG